TAGCAACTGTTTATTTTAAATAAAATTTATTAGTCTGTTGATGCTAATTTACATTTAAATGAAGTTTATGGTTAAGACAGTTGAATTTATCACATATATATTTTTTCCATATTTAAGGCCAGTTCATGAATAAAACCATAACTCCAATTTATCGCATCTATTTCAAACAGATACATTGACTTTCACATGATTGACACCAATATTATTATACAACTTTTGACCATGAATGCTGTGTTTCGTTGTATGGCCGATCTTTATTCTTTTCTTTCTTTTCTCTTCAACATGACTTATTAAGAGTGCTTTTTTGAATCTTCAAATTCCACAATCCATTGACATTTGACTTCAATACCTAGATTTATGAGATCTGGATCAATATTGAGATCAGACAACGGTAATAAATACATTGGAGGGTGGTGGGATTGGGATTGTCCATGGGTGATACAGTTAGGATTTAAGATTGAGATAGTCGAGAAAATAATTCAAGTTCAACAACTGCAACTGCCAAAAAAGTTAAAACAATGTTCAGAAGGTGAACTGAAATACAAAAGGACAATATTTGATCATATGATACCAAGATATTATTATAGTAATTATACATATGCCACAAAAAAAATGTTCCAAATTCTACATTCATATAGCTTAACACACCACCATATTAGTGAAGCATTCAGTGGTGAACTGGACTTGAAAACATGCGTAGGTTGGGTTGAAGATGAATTGCATACGTCCTTGACGGTGGAAACATCAAATTTGATGCAAGCTTGAGAGGCTTTGGAAGTGTGAATAGCTTGCATTGTGTCCTGCTAACACAATTGATGCCACTATGTATATTAATTTCCCAAGATTTGTTATGAACGTAAATCTCAAATTCTTGATTGAAAGTAAGGGAAATTTCTCAAATTGCTGTCTTTGGAGAGCCCTTGTTTCTTGTAAACACATTTAGATATAATTAACAACTTGGTAAAAAGAAGTTGAGCCCACAAATCTTTTCCTAGATCCATTTTATTATTCTATAATATGTATTTATCTCCTAGGTTCTTTGAAAATTTTGCAAACTAATAAACAGTTGTATCTGTATGAAGCAATAATGATGAACTTTTGCTTCCGTAGTAATCTTGCAAGGATAGAGAGGAGTGCACAGAAGCAAGCAAAATCAGGCACAGAAAATGCTGGATGGTATGAGAAATGGTGAGAAGTGACTCAGTATTGATGCCATAACAGTTTGCTACTTACCTTAATTTCTCAGTTTCTTTTGTTTGACTGGATATTACTTTGCTTCTAGGTGGGAAAAGTATGATGCAAAAGGTTGGACAGAGAAAGGAGCTCATAAGTATGGAAGATTGAATGAACAATCCTGGTGGGAGAAGTGGGGAGAACACTATGATGGAAGAGGATTCGTACTCAAATGGTTTGATTGTTTACATCATATTCTACATTGTCTAATTGTTTTTCTCGTGGAAATTATGTACATTAATCATTTCATAATTAAGCTTTTTCTGCTTATGGTAGGTTGCTGCCTCCCAGATTTGTTCACATGCAAACCTTACATGTTGCAACAAACAAAATACATACGTATCAGCCACAATAAAATAAAATCATTATAATGTAGCAGATTAGGAGCCAAACTCACTTTTGAAACTTCATCTCCTAATTTTAAGAATTGCAACTGGCTCATTGAAGTACCATCCAACACAAATTTTGGACCAGAAGCTTTGGTTGAGAATAAATAAATGGAAACTATCTAGTTTTGCAGTGATAAAGAACCATATCAGTGAGTGCTCTATTCAGGTGCAAAGTGAATCAACAGCTTTGCTTCTTGTACTTGGTTTTTTCTTAATGAAAATATGATGGTAGTATTGTTACTTAGTTCTTGTTCTGAAATATCATTTTGGCATTTCAATATGCTATATTAGTGTACAGCATATTTAATTACTCATGTTTGGTTCAGCTTTGATTGAGTTCTTAATAGTAAAGCATTTAAGATGTTTTGTCTTTTTATTTTTGTACAGCCAACTTGATTGTTCAAGCTTGTTTTAGATGATGAAAATTTTAAAGTTTTCTTCTCTTTTAAAATGAGATATTTAACTATAATATTTTTTAATCTTTGATAGGACTGATAAATGGGCAGAGACTCAGTTAGGTACCAGATGGGGGGATAAATGGGAAGAGAAGTTCTTTGCTGGAATAGGTTCACGACAAGGGGAGACATGGCATGTGTCTCCTGCTGGTGAACGTAAGTTGTGCCACTGTTGTCATTCTTCTGGGCCTATTGCATATGTGAATAATGTTCATTACTTTTTCAGGCATATAACATTCCTGAATGTTTGATTATGTTGAGCATACGCATGTGTAGATGAGCATATTGCTAGATAACTTTATTTGTCTTGAGCTTGATTCTTAAATGCTTTGTTGACCCTTTAACTAGATACCCATGACTTATATAGATTTTTCCTGTACTTCATACCAACCTTTATATGTTTTTTCTCTATTTCTCCACTCATTTCCCTTGTTCATTTTCCTGTCCATCTTTGTGGCTTTATCTTTCTCTAGGATGACAAGCTTTTGTTAACTTTTCATGTGTCTTTATTTATCTTGATTCTTTTCAAGTTCAGGGACTTGAAGGGTTATTTCCTAGTTGCATTAGTGAGAAAGGAAACAAAAAAAGAGGACTCCTAACTTTGTAGATTTTCAGTCACCAAGAAGGCATGACTTGTTCTTAATAAGTCTATTAGCTGAAAGTGGTCATCATCAATTGATTGGTCCTTTCATGTAGTGATATCAACCACCTTGCATGCAACAGATATTAAGATTTGGATCACATAGGAATAATACAATCAAAATTGGCAGTATAAGGATCAACAAAGAAGATAATTTTAAAACTAACAATTGTAAAAAAAAAACCTAGTTATAAATTTATAAAATAAAAAAGTTATTTGTTAAAGATTCTTTTGCATCATATATCATAAGATATCTAAAATATGAAAAGTTATGAAAAAAATGAAAGTTAAAATTTAAAAAATTATGAAAAAATAAAAAATGATGAAGGATAATTCACATAAAGTAGTTATAATATATTTATTAGAAAATAGATTATAAAAGTAATTATAATATATTATAAAAGTAGTTATAATATACTTGTTCTCATCTACATGTGCCTCTGGATTTGGTTAGAAGTTATGAATGATTTAGAGTGCTGTACTTTCAGCTCAACAAGTACGTGAAACAAATGGAATAATAGATCAGTTTCTTGAAGTTTGAACTGCCTATGTCATTCAGAAGATATTCTATATTCAAATATCATACATAGCTCAATGCTTTCTTATTGACAACACAAGCAAGAAAAGGACATTCATTATGAATGTCAGTCTATTAATTAAAATCGATAACCATCAGATGGAACACAGGGTACATCCTAAAAATAGTAAATTTCTCTCTGTCTCCCCCCAATTCACTTATTCATTTGCTCTACCAAAGTTCAGACTCGCATACATGCACCATTAGTAAATCATGCATAGGCATTGTTACTAAATCATGAGTCGAAACTGAAGGATTACTTGTTCCTTTTATTTCTTGCTGCGACCTCCACATGCTATTATTTAGTTACATACTTGATCTTTTGTAGGTTGGTCAAGAACCTGGGGAGAAGAGCACTTTGGAAATGGGTACTTTATAATCTCTCTCCTTTTAGTCTTCTGTGGATGCATCATTTGTCGAGCTTCTTTGTAAACAAGATTTAAGATTCAGGATCCTAAATGTTCATAAACCTACAGTCAGGTCAATATATTTGATTGTCAGGCAATTTGGTATGCACAAAGCATATCGAATTAGACGTATCATTATGTTTCTTCACAATGATTTACTTGCCACTGTGTCATGATTTTGGTTTTTGAATATAACTTTTTGAACCAAATTTGTTTCAGGAAAGTACACAAGTATGGCAAAAGTACCACAGGAGAAAGCTGGGATATCGTTGTGGATGAAGAAACCTATTATGAGTGAGTTTGTTTCGTTTGCATCAAAGAGAATGATGCACGATATGCTATTCTCCTCCCGATCGGATCATGTCTCCTACAAATCTAACATCTGGATGATTCGTTCTTGTGTCAGGGGTGAGCCTCATTACGGATGGGCAGAAGTCGTGGGTGATTCCACCCAATTGTTATCGATACAACCTCAAGAAAGGCCACCGGGTGTATACCCAAATCTTGACTTTGGTGCATCAGAACGACAGAAGGACGATCCACCAGATGAACCCCTGCAGCAGTGAATGGTGTTTGCGTCCTTTTTTTTTTTTTTCCTTTTTCCTTTTGTTTTGGCCTCCCAATTTTTGTGCTGACTTATCACATGAAATGATCTCTTTCTTCTATTGGTTCGTTCGTTCGTTCGTTATTCTATGTTTTCCCATGTCAATCTTCTTCTATTGATGCTTTTATTTCACGTTCACGATAGGATCGACATAATAGTTCCAGTTGTCCTGTTCTTGTTTGTCCTGTCAGAACGCATGCAGTCTTTCAATTGCTGAGTGCCTTGTTCCACAAGTTTTAATGTAATAGAGAAGACTTCCACACCTTGGGGGTTCCACCATTGGCAGCTCATGTTGACTACGAAATGATGTTTAGATTAGCTGCAGCCGCCGGTGAATCACGTTGACCACAAACTTCGTTATTGCCGGTTGGGCCTTCTAACGCGTCACTGCTATCTCCATCTTCCGTTACTGTTCTTTTTCTTGTGCGGCAATCGACCTTTCCCCCTCTTCTTTTAGGAACCGAAGCAATCAATAACAAGAGTCAGTCCTACTTTTCACATTTAGTGCCGAATGGCTCATTGTGATCATGATGAGGTTGTCCTTCTCTCTGTAGTTCCCATGCTGTCACCGTGTGAAACGAACACGGCATTATTGGCTAGGAACCATCGTTTCGCACTCATTAGCCACTATGACTCTTCCCAAGTCAATACGTCGACCGGCCGATTCACGGTAAACTACAGGCTTTTGCTTCCTAATCTACAAATCAGAGAGAGAGAGGAGAGAGAGAGAGAGCAGTGGTCGCACTGGATCAGCTGCAGCGGAAGCAGAGAGAAGATGAGGACGGCTCCTGCGCCGCTGGTGCTCCTCCTCCTCGTCCACGGCCTCGCCAGCGCCGCCTCCGCCGCGTTCACCTGCAACGCCACGGGTGTCGCTGCCACTTGCCGGTCCCTGGTCGGCTTTAATCCGGCCCAAAACACCACCTACAGCGCCATCGCGTCCCTCTTCCAGGTCTCGAACGCCTCCCTCTTCGGCTCCAACGGCCTCTCACTCACCACCCCCGCCGACGGGGCTGTCGCTGCCGGGTCGACGGTGCGGGTCCCGATCCCTTGCCGGTGCGCGAACGGGACGGGTTGGTCGGATCGCACGCCGGTCTATACGGTGCAGGACGGGGACGTGGGCCTGTACAACATCACGGTCGCCCGGTTCAGCAATCTGACGACGTACCAGGATATCGGGAAGGCCAACCAGCTGCCGGACGTGAACAAGATCCAGGTGGGGCAGAAACTGTGGATCCCGCTGCCGTGCAGCTGCGACGAGGTGGACGGGGCGGAGGTGGTGCACCTGGCTCACGTGGTGGCGCCCGGGAGCTCGGTGGAGGGCATCGCCATGGAGTTCGGCACCAACGCCTCCACGCTGCTGCGCCTCAACGGGATGAGCGACCCCAAAGCGCTGATGGCGTACCAGGTCCTGGACGTGCCCCTCCACGGTCGGTACTCTACTCTCTTCACCTTCCCTTTCCTTCTTCCCTACCACTCTCAAACACACATCCTTTTGATCAGATTAAAGACCCATCAGTTCCATGAATTCCACCATCCATAGCTCACAGAAGAGATGATGAAATGGGTTCCTGTTTTACCAAGATAAGAAGCCCACTTTGACATGGCTTTGGTAACATTGGATTCCATTGATGAGAAATATCTCGAGCTTTTGTCTCCGATCGCTCTGCGTGCGTGTCTTCCACTTGCGTCATCTACTTGTCTTCCTCCACCAAGTCTCTACTTGTCTTCCTCCACCACGTCGACCGGTCAACTCTATTAGTTCTCTAAATTTAGCATATAAAAAACTTAAACCCATACAAAATACCTATTAGAATTGTTATAATGATGATATTATCAATATCATTTGTGATAGATAATAATATATATTGACTTTGTACCATTTGGATGTCTACAGCTTGTTCATCTTCCATTACCAACAATTCCTTGGACTACGGTCTGCGCCTCGCCAACGGCAGTTACGCCACCACTGCTAATGGCTGCATCACCTGCAGCTGCACCGCCACCACCTACCGGTGAGTCTTCTGCTGCTCCTTCTCCTCGTGCACCCAGCGCGTCACCACCTAACGCCGTTACCTGATGATGAACCCAACCAGGCTGGACTGCCACCAATCTGTGGGCCAATCCAAGTGCCCTGCAGCGGCGACGTGCCCAGGGAAACTCTTCATCGGCAACACGTCCACCTCCGGTTGCGAGGTCCAGACGTGCTCCTACACCGGCTACACCAACACCTCCACGCCCACCGGCATCAATATCTCGAGCACCATCACCACCGACCGGACCAACTGCGGCAGTGGTAAGTTGCAGACTCGATCTGATTTCCTTCCATCAAATGGCTTGAGACGCTAACCATGGCGTACGCGTTGCTGCTACGTAGATGGAGGATCACCACCCGGATCAGATGGAGGCCTGGGGTTGAGAGGGTTCAAGTGGAGCGCAGCTCTCGTCTTCCTCCACATGATCTGGCTTTCTTCTCTGCAATAAGGCGCCTGAGCTGTGTGTTCATCAGATCTATTACTCAGCAGCAATGCTTTCGAAAGCATACGGTGTCCCCTCCTTGTTTCTTGATGAATAAGTCTTGTGCTACTCCTACCAACTCTTCTTCTAACTTCCACAAAGACGTGAATGATGTGAGAACAAATCGTAAGGAATTATATGCTTCATTTATGGTACGATATGTCACGGACGAGCGACAGGGCGTGATGTCGTCGTCCACTGCGATAAGATTCGTGCGTCCGACATCCTGATGGGATCCGATGGTGACCATAACCGGACTCGATGTCCATCATCAGACGGTTCTCACCGGACTCCACTCGGTCTCGAGCCACAGCGTGGCCACGAAGCAAACGTGCCACGCGTCATGTTCCAACTGGCCAGGCTGGAGAATTGCCACGCGTGTCTCACCTGGTAGTGGGTTCCACGCGTACAAGTGGCGGGATCCGTGATCGCATCGTTGCCGTTCATCACCATCACCGCGCAGCATCGAGGGCGAAAAATAACCCTTTATTATACATTGGGAAAAGAATAATATAAGATAATATTTTTCTCGTCAATTTGGGGTTTCGACTTTCGACGATGGCGCCTCCTCCCTCTTCTCGACCCTTTCTCTCTCTTCGTCACTGATCGAGGTTGTGTTAGGGATACCACGATCCCCCAGTCCTCGTCGCCGTCGTCCATGGCCGACGACGGCGATTCCGACGACGGTAGCGGGCCTCCCTCCGCCACCGTGCACATACGCTGCTCCAGCGGCTCCAAGTTCTCCGTCCAGACGCCGCTCGACGCGACGGTGGACGCGTTCAAGGCCGTGGTCGCTGGGAGCTGCGACGTGCCCGTGGAGGAACAGCGGATGATCTACAAGGGCTGGGTCTTGAATGACGACCAAACGCTCGCGAGCTACGGTCAGCCCCCCCCGCCCCACCCTCCCCCCCCCGCTATCAGTATTTTTCCCCTATCCTCGTAGTAGCTAGAATTGTGGGCCTCAGGTTCCGTAAAAGGGCATTTCAGTTTTGCATGGTTGATTAGGTTGTAATCTTTTTTGTGTATCTTTTTCTTGATCTTGGATTTCTTCTTTGTTTATGCTTATGGATATTTTGTGGGGATTGTCGTAGAAACTGGCTACCCATGCACAAAATGGAACCATTCATTTATGGACAAGGGTTTTTGATAGGGAATAGTCTACTTCTTGGTTCAGTGCTGGTGTCCTTACGAATCTTGTTGTCACATGACCATGTGGTGCCTGCATTGAATCTAAAATCTTGTTGTGCATCTAATTTTACTGGTGGAGGTAGAAATGAATGAAAGCCGTTCTATTTGACGTACAAGTGAAGATGCTATTTGGTGCATTCTTTAGAAAGAATGTGTTACGGCCAATGATAACTCGAATTGAATATCGTTCCTATATTCTTCATCAAATTTGTCGTCGCTTCAGTAATATCTTGACAAGTTGTTATGAGCATAGAAATGCTTGACTTTCATTGCACATATTTATTCACTTGTCTTTGATTTGATTGTGAATTTTAGTCAAATGTTGATAATTGCTTAATATGTACCTAATTTAAATATGAGTATCTGTCATTTCCTAATCATTTTCATCCCTGAATCACCTGCATATGTATTTTTTTATTTTTTATTTTTCATTTTGGTCACGTAAACTATATCTCATTCTTTTAGCAAGGTTGTGAGTCATCATCTTTCTGCATTTTGTGATTTTGTACTGTTGTCAGCCTCAGTGATTGCAAAAGGCGCTCGGGCGCTCGCCTAGGCGCTCGGGCGAGGCGAGGCGAGGCCCGAGCGCCTCGCTAATGTCCCAGGCGGCGCGCTTCAAACAGGTGTCGCCTGGGCACTCGCCCGAGCCCAGGCGCTGGGCGCTTCGGGCGAGCGCCTGGGTAGACCAAGGCGACCGAACCAGAATTTTAGGTTTGGTTCGGTCTTGGTTCGGTTGTTAGTTGGTTCAATCGAACCAACTAAACCAATATAACCCCAACACTAACCTGCTGCCGCTGTCACTCTCGATCCCGATCCT